GGGGGGGGGGGGGGGGGGGGGAGAGGGACAGCTTATATTCTAATTGCTTGTTCATTCTATTGAAAGCAAATTCGAAAAATAATCCGGATGCATAAAATGAACTTTTGAGCTGTGCATAAGCACCCTCCCGCAGCTTCAAAAAATAATCCCTCGGATCTCTAGAAATGGGGAGTGGAATAAATTGAATAATGATACGCTGTAGTGTTTGCTGAGAAGTAATAGTCAAATGTGACCCATATAGTGACGACAGTGGGAGTATGGAATAAAATTTTGTTACAAATACTCATTAAAACTTACATATGCGTTATAATCTAAAACGAACATCATAAACAACTTGAATGATAATTGTCTCTAATTGTATAGAGAAAAAGATTGGGTGAATTCGTCTAAGGAATTCGAGATTTGTGCTTTCCCACTCAGATAGGAAGAATTTTAGCAAGTTGCTTTGAGAAGACTAGTGTTGAACCTAGTATAAACGTTGATAATAGCACTCTGATATGTGGAGTTTCACGCCTTTAACTCTCATATGAGCGGATTTGTAACCAAAGACCCCGCATTCGTCTTCTTCGGTTTGCCTTAGTCATGACTTCAAGCGATCTTTCTATTTCACCTCACTACTCAACGACTCAAATGTTGCAAGTTAAGAGAATCAACGAAATTTCACGTATTAGCCTCCTGCGTTGAAGTTGAGACATTGGCTTTTCCGGAGGAGTCCACAGAAAAAAACTGTTCCCATGGAAAAAAAAGTTAGAGAACTTTTTAAAACGCGGTGCTAACAGGAAAGACCTTCCCATTTTGGAACAGGAACAAATAGGGTTCGGATATTAAGCGATATATTGTCCCTTAAAAAATTATTCGCCATATTTTTTTGTATTTGCGAAGGATTAGGAAGTATGTGTCTGCATTTTCTTACTAATTGGATTATTGGGTGAAATGGACCTACTATATGATAATCATTTATTAACTCTGAAGGAATGTTATATTGTGATTTTGCTATTCGTCTAATTCGTCTCCCCTCGCATTATGAACATGATATGTTTGTGAAACCACGACGCCACTTGGTTCAATAATTTTTTTTCACAGGCGTTCGTAGAGTCGGCACTATTTGTCAAGGTTGAAGACAAAGAACTGCTGTTTTGAGTAACATCAGAAAACGGCAAATTCGAGAGCTTTAGAATAATTATTGTCCAGACTATTATATTTCCCATTACTTTTAAATATTAGTAAGGAAATGCATTTCGTAAGATACATATCTTGGCTTACACCACTAAACGGCCATAAAACACTGAATCATTTCAAGACTTTTAAAGACGGTTGGTTTTCAGTCGCCATGTATATCTGTGAATCCACAAAATTCGTCATTGCTACACAAAACAGCGCTTTCATTTAAGAATGACAATAATACAAATGCAAATAATGACAATATCTTAGTCGGCATGGTAATGTCAAGGTTGATTTGGCCAAATAGTTGCTTTAACACAGTGGGATCAGAATTCTGATAAGATATGACACAGATGAGGATAATGGCAAGATTTAAAGTCACAGGAATTAAGTTTTGCCTCGAGATGAGCAATTTCAGCAAGTAGTTTCCAAGTCTCCTATCAGCCTTATCAATACGTGGGAGTATGCCACTTCTGACAGCTTGGTATTGGTCAGGTGGTGTTTGGACCCTCATATTCAATTGCATGAAGTCAATGTTAAACCAATAAAAGACCATGGAGTAGCTTTTTCTCCCATTTTTTGGGGTTTGAGTCAACCGAAGTCTAGCAATATCAGCTAGAAAAACGACAGAAGCAGAAACAAGATAATCTAGAACTACGGTGGCGAAGATATGACTTATTTTGCGAAAAGGACACAACAACAGAGAAAAAAATATCAGGAGAATGAAATAGTTAAAGAATTTCCTCCACACTGGATGATTTAATGATACAAGTGAGATCAGATTCCCCAAAATCCAATTATTCACCTGGGATTGATGATTAACATTAGCGTCAGGACTCATCAGCAGGAGATTGGCTGAATTGAGGTCATCTTTTCGAGCAGCAACGTGGAGAGCCGGCAAGCCACCGCGAGATCGAGTATCGCGTTCGAGGAGGGTGGCCACCACTCTATCGTGACCTTGTTGAAGGGCCACCGCTAGTGGTGTGAAACCATCCTAGATGGAATAAAGAATAGAATGAATAGGAATTTAATTAACTGAACTGGTCAAAAAGTTAGCATAGATTCTGTACTATTAACTATAACATCAGAGCACCAACGAATGAAAATGACAAAGGTTTAAGCCATCTAAAAAGTTTGTGTCAAGGATATGAAAACAGGTAGGTGATACAAGCCAGTTTATACGCTACTATAACTACCTCAATCATTGCGCAAAACAGAAAAGTAAAATGTCCCCTTAGAGGAATCCAGGCGCCCTCGGCTTTTGAGCACTTTCTGCTATTGCGCAGATTGCTACGAATTACTTACATGATGCGAAACAGTTCTTTAAGCCGATTTGCAGCCTACAAAAACCCTAAAATACACCCTTCAAACCATAGACTTCAAACTCACAAATTCAAATTCACGAGAATATGCACCAAAAGGAAACACGACAAATATGGCGTTAAAGCAAAGCGAACAAATCCCTTTGTTAGTAATTGAATTTAGACTCAGAAACCTATGAAAAATTCGCAGTAATCTGATAAGAAAAGGTCAAGCATAACCCATCTAATCTATTTAAATGAAATTTCCCAAATGGGTAAAGATTGAGCTCAAGATACGGGATATAATTCACTCTGATTGCTGTTTAAGGCATAGCAATTGGTCCGTGTGTTTTCAGCCGATTTCCAAGTTCTATATAAAGCTATTACGTGCGAGTAGTCAGTCCCTTCCAAAATCAATCAGAAAACTACAAATTCTTAAACAAACTCAGGCCTGAATGAAGAGCTAAAACAAAGGCAATCGCTCACTAAAATATGGCAAGTTGAATCAATAAATAATTGCGTAGAACTTAATGTCAAGGAATATGAAATAAGCATATTTTCGAGATCTTGAATGTTTACAGGCCAGTGGAAAGTGGAGCAAAATGGAATACAATAAAAATTTAGGTGAGAGAAATTCACCATAACCATAAGATCTATGGAAGGGAGAGTAAATTAAAAAAATATGAATGCACAAAGACAAATATCTCTAAAAAAACAGGCGAAAAACGAACCAAACAGTCATCTTTAATTGCCATACTCCTAAATTGCCTATATCAGTGCGAATAGATCCTTTCTCATTATTAAACCTTTACTTTTATGAAAAAATAAAGGTTCAAATACGTTTGATGCCCGAAAGTAACAACATGACAGGATCAAATAACTGCCTAATCTAACGGAAGACGAAGGGGAGACTAATTTCCAAGAACTAGACCTATTGAGATGTAACGCGTAACCGATAAAGAAACCCGCTAGAAAAGCTTTGATTAAAATAGAAAATCTTAAATACTGTACCCTTTAGATGCTTTCAAGGTTCCATAAGTTCAGGTGAGCAAATTCTTCAAAATATATAGAGGCAGTCTTAGACGATAATGAAAAACAAAATATCCTAATGTAACCAATCAAATTATAATAGAGCAAGTATTAAGAAGAGATTCATTTTCAAAATTTTACCTCGGTTGTAAGCGACTGATTGGCGCCTCTATTAAGTAGAAGAATTACTACATCCAAGTGATTTTCTTGAGCTGCCATGTAGAGAGGTGTAAACCCAACCTAAAAGTGGTGAAATAGGAGTTAGATACCCCACTTCTGAAGCAAATTCATTTTCAGATATAATTGTCCGAAACATACAACAGACTGGCAGTTGGGGTTGGCATTAGCATCCAGAAGAGCTTTGACAACATCCAAATGCCCAGCGAGGGAAGCAATGTGAAGAGAAGTGTTCCCTTTCTTTGAGACTGCATTAACATCTGCGCCGTTACGAATTAATTCATTCACAACTTCTATATGACCTTCTTTAGCTGCCAAGTGCAAAGCTGTCAAACCCGTCTGCAAGAACCAACATAGACAAATAAATTCTCCATATATGTTAAGAATAATGAGACTTTAAAAGCAAACTTACGGGGTTTGTACTGTTTATAAAAACGCCAGAGTTTATCAAGTCTAGAACTTTTTTCAAGTCACCAGCCCGAGCAGCTCGTAAAAAACTTTCACCAGTATCGCCCTATAAAAATGCAGTATAAAATAAATAAATCTCAAAAAAAAATTAAATTATGCAATGTACATACAATCAAACTTAAAAACAATAAAGGATTAACTTGTTTATACACGATCGATTCAGAATTATTAATATTTTTACACAGCGAAGTGGTATGAAATTTTAAATATAGATTATTACCGCAGCTCCACGCTTATTTGACCCGTGGTGAGGATCCGAACCCTTGGTCATCGTTATTAGAAAAGCCTCTTAAACTTCAACGACCCTTATCAAATTTATGCGCAGTTAAACAAATATATGCTAAGGTTAATAAATAATAGAAATAAAATTTAGAAACATATTATTTTATTTAGTATAACATTTATTCCTTATTACCTGCATACAACTATGGTTTTATATTGTTAATTATAGGCACATTTTGATCCACAAACCTCCTAGACTCTATTTAGTGGCCTAACTTCGATAAAATTGCAAAGAGAATTATTCTGCATTTGAAATTTATTAAATCTTTATTAAAATCAATTTAAATTTATATATTTCATTGAGTATCAACACTATCAATTATTTTGATTGATTTAGTGCTTCCATTTTCCAAAAACGGCAGGCTCCCGCTATTAAATGAAATATTTTATGCTTGCTCTACAGAAGATTTTACTAATCATTGTTGCCATAAAAGAATTACTTTAATTTTGATCTGTTACACAGGTTATTCACTTAAATGCTTGTGACTTCAGTTTTTGGTAGTTTAAAAACATTTCAATTGTCTAAAGTGAATTTGAAACAGGGGACCGCAGACTTCTCATGGGTAAGATAGTTTCAAGGTGTGGAACACTAATACTGAATAACATTTAAGTTATATAAATATGAGTGCCATTAAAGTTTGAAAAATCAAAAGGACTTAATTAGTGTTTTCCGTAACCGCAAATAGTCTTATCATTTATTGTCTCCATATAATTGGCCTATCGCATGATGAGTATAAAAGCCGTATGCATTGTATATTTTACAGACCATAGTTTTACTAAATTCAACAACAATAAATTGATTATTTTCTATTTTCTTCAGTTGGTCACAATATCATATTCATATGATTATTCTAGAATTTCCGTGTAGCACGTCTACTAAATCCAATTTGAACACAGCATTTTGAGAACAAAATCAGTTAGCAATAAAGCACAAGCAAAATTAAATTTAAAAATGATTTATCAAAATATCTAGTATTTGCCAGTGTAACACTGGTAATCACTTTGTTATCGTTTGCCCTTTTCTGTAGTATACGGTAAATGTCTCAGATTCTCTAAAAAATCTGACTGATTGCAAATAAAATCAGACAAGCTAACTATGCTGAATCATCCTAATAACAATGTCAAAACAGGATGAACTATCTAACAACGTTTGATTTCTATATTAATCTGCATTTAAGACTTCAAATTAACTATACTCATTAGACTAAAACGAGAGGTGGGGAAGAAAATAAGAAAAGCTGAAATCTTATATGCAAAGTTATTTTTAAAAAGTATTGTTTTTGTGAGAAGCGTATGTGTCTATCGTGAATCAATTAGATGACAATTGACTTCCGCTTCACCTGCAATTTCCCAAAGTGATGCATTAATTTAAGGCAATAAAATTTTATATTCGTCTCCCTCAAATGGGCCTACAGAAACGTATAGTAAGCCAAAGCCCAAAGTATATATAATATTAAGTTTATTAATGTAGCCTCGACATATACACATCAACCCTATTTGAACCGCTTACTAAATGATTCAATGTTATTCCGCTGCAGGTTCTTTTTGTGGCAAATAAGGAAGAAAAGAATCAACTACAGTGTCAAGTCAATGTGTCTAGTCATCTGCATCGATTATTTATTTTTCCTCTTTGGCTTTTTCTGACTCGTTCTCGCAGTGAGTTGGACAAAGTTTGCTTGAGCCTGAGTAGGCCCCTTAAAATTTTACCCCGTATTTCCACTTTGTAATTTTTAGTAAAAGAATTCAACCTTCTGAATGTTCTAAGCACTCCCTCTGGCCCTTAGGGCTCAACTCCCTGGTTCGAAGCCTAAATTTCCAAATAGTCTTCGCCCAAGTTGTAGAGGAGGCTTTAAGCCTCGATTAGGGATTTCTCAATCGAGTCGATGTCTAAAGTCGACGGTAATTTCTTGAATTCACTTAATGGAGTATTTTAATTTTAGATTGTAGACACAAAATGGAGCGTCGTGATTTAAATAGCCCTAATATACTTTACAGACAAGTCAACAAATTCGGTCATTTGCTTTTTCCGTCTATAGGAATCAATAAGGAATGAGAACTTGTGCTTGTACAAAATATTAATTAGATTCCTATGTCAAATTTGCATGTTAATAGAGCTAGAAGTCATGAAATTGATACTCCTCGAATTGAGCGGACTTTTCTTGAATGCGGCTTCCTCATTAGGGGTTGCTAAATCCAACCTTCTTATAAGTTTTTTGCTTTAAGATACTTACATTCAACGATTTTTGAATACCCGCGATCTTTTCCACAATATTTTGCATGAATTCACCAACTTGAACAAAAAAATATACAAGAAGCACCACTTGTAAAGCATTTTGAAATGTGCAAATTATGGAAATTTTACTCTACTTACTTTCACAAGTAGCACAGTTTAAAATGGCGTTCATGATAAAATGTGAATAACTCGCACTTATCTTTACAGATAAAGTTTGCCGACTATTGCATTAATGACTTTCGAAGTATATTTTTGCAATATCATAGGCATTTTTGACATGAAATTACTTTTACACTTTGAAATTTAGCTTGGTGGTTTATAGAATTGAGGCGTCAGTGTATTTTTGAAGCAAACAACATTTTTGGCTAATTATTCATTTAAAAATAAATCAGTAATTGGTAGATTTTGGGGAAAGAATAACTTCATGAAATTAGTCTTTTGGGGAGTGAAACAGTGGAGTGAATATTAAGCAAACAACGAACAATCTAATCCAAAAATTAGTATCAAAGTTATCAAGTCCCTTTTATGGCCTTACTTAATCCTCAATAATCCCCATCATCTCTCATTCGTCTCCACTGTTACTCACTGGCAATTGATTTGTCAGACCGAAGAATAGTCTATTTACCATGGATAAAATAGGCGAACAAATGTGACCCTTAATCTCAAAGGCCTAGGG